CCAATCAGTGTTTTACTCAGCAATCAGTAAAAGAAGCATATGTACAGAAGAGCATCCCCCATGCCTGTTGTAGAATTTGCCATTGCATCAAGAATCTCAAGTTTCTCCTTGCAAAAGGAATTAGACACACCAAGATCTCTGCACTAGTTACCTAATGCTCATTGTCACTGAACTGTTGATGCTTATAAATGTCCATTGGTTGAGCAGAATAACCACACAGACTGTTCTAGTTTCTCTTTACATTTGAGCTTCAACATAACATTTAATCATGTCAAGCATAGTAATTCCTAAAGGACACATAGTTTTATCACTGAGCTTCAACTTATGATATGAAAACAGAACTCCAGATTCTGATTAGGAAAAAACAAAGTGACCATGTTATTCCTAAGTATTTGCCACTAAATGCTGAGCTTACCAGATAACACAAAGAGATAACACCATGAGAATAATCTGCATGGTGTAGTTTATTCAGGACCTTGGGATTTGAAGAGTGATGTGGCATTGAATTGTCCATATTTTCTTATAGTTTCTTCTGTATTCCAGGAAGGATTGTATAGGCTTTTCTGATCTATTGACCACAAACAAAAAAAAGCTTAAGACAAATGTCTTCCTCATAGCCAAAGTATATGAGAAGGGGTTGTTAAACTGTAACTGTTTGACAATACTCTCATCATTCCAGCAAAATACTAAGGTAAAACTTCCCCCTATTTTCCATGCTTCCACTTCAGTGACAACAACTAAGAGGTTGATTTTTGTACTCCAGACCACCTCTCTCCTATCTAAGCAGCCATCACAGTCAAATTCCCCAGCAGGGTGATTTCAGGGCAGTCCACTGCCTAGCGAACCTTCATCCCTCCAGCATGCACAAGGACATTTAAAGATGTGAAGCCAGATGTGGCCACTTAGCTCTGGACACACCACAAGCAGTCATACAGTTCAACAAGGAGCTTAACATCATTTCTGTTTCACCTCCAAAGCAAGATGTTCTAGTTAAGAAGAATAGGCCCTACATTATATGCTTTGAGAGGACTTCTATGTAAAACTGAGCCTCCCCCACAAGTAGACTCCAAATGTTTCTTTGTGTATCCCTGGCTGTTCTGGAACTCACTCTGTAGAGCAGGCTGGCCTCAAACTCACAGAGATCTGCCTGCCTCTGCCTCATGAGTGCTGGAATTAAATGTGTGCACTACCACCACCACAAAGTAGACTCCAAATGTAGCAAAATGACGTGAAAAAACATAGCTTTCATGTCTCCATTCTCTGTCGGGAGTCCTATTGAGGATCTTAACTTTTACTTCCACTTAACCTCAAAGCAAGTTTGCATGTGGCTCTACCACATTTAAAGAGGTGGTATCAAGGCCAAAGGGTAAGCTGAGCATCTCTTACATGTAGACAGTTAATGTGATTCATTGCTCAACTTTTTTGGGGTTGATGTCATTGGGACCCATTGAAAATCTGTATATTCTTTCCCATTCATCCCCCACATGACTATTCAATGTAGAGTAACTTCTTGCTTAAAAAGTAATAATAATGCAAAGAAGATAAAACAGAATGTGGGGTTATGCAATACTCACAATTTGTTCAAAATGTAATCCAAAATCATCCATCATACACCAAACCAGGAATAATGAAAATCTGAACAGTATAATCATTGACAAATAAACTGGGGTGGAATTATAATGAGTATGCTAAATAAATTATCTGGGAAATATTGAATGTAATATGTATTTCTTAAAATACATGAAAAAAGAAAATGTAAGCAAAACTCAAAGCTATTAAGAATAAAGACCAGTGGAAATGGAAGACATACTTGAAGAACCCCCCCCCACAAAAATAGTATTGACCACAACTGAAAACCAAAAAGAAAAATAGACCAGGGGTCTCATAAACTCAGAAACCATGGGGGACAGTATGAAAAGTGCTATTATTTGTATCATCAGATTCTTAGTTGGAAAAGGGAGCAAGTGAGACAGAAAAGCTTGAAGAAATAGTGAACAAAGTATGCAAAATGCCAGAAGAAACAAACCTAGAGACTCAAGAACCCAAGTAAATCCCAAGTATCCAAATACAGTAATAGCTATTCAAACAGACATAATTGGTAAAATTCCAGGTAGAGGTTAAGAGCACTGACTGCTCTTCCAGAGGTTCTGAGTTCAATTCCCAGAAACCACATCACGGCTCACAACCATCTATGATGAGATCTGGTGTACTTTTCTGGCGTATAATACTTATTATGTATGCATAATAAATAAATACATTTTTTAAATTCTAGGTAGAAAAGACAAAGGGAAAAAACTTAGAAAGCAGACAGAAATCACACATCTTGTAGATTCAAATGGCAACAGATGTCAAATCAGAAACTCGATAGGCCAGAAGTATTTGCATGATGTATTTGAAGCGTTGAAATTAAGGGACTGTCTAGGAATCCAGCTTACTAGACAGGGCACCTAACATGACTCACATGAAACCAGATGTAGTAGCTCACACCTATAATCCTAGCACTTGGGAGATAGAAGCAGATACAGTCATCCATGGCTACCTAAAATGCTTGAAACCAGCCTGGGCTACATGATAACCTGCCAAGAAAGCAAATGGTAAAAAAAAAAAGAAGAAGAAAGGAAAAAAGGGGGGAGGAAGGTAGGATTTGAGGGAGGTAGGAGAAGCAAAGGAGGAAGGGGAAGGGAGGGAAGAATGAATAAAGGGAACTGTCAGTTACATTTTCTTTCTAATTAGATCTTGTTTGACTTTCAGTAATATGTTCTTAGGTACTTTTCCTATATACAAGATTAAAATCACATTTTGAAAACAATTATGCTACAAAATTAATTTTCAAACTGTCAGTAACTTTTCTAAATTGCACATGGATCTTTAAGGCACACTGGTCATAATATACAAATCAACTTTTATCTAGTGTAACTTCATGATCCAGTTAAAAATCAGTCAATGGATGACCGTAATGTTGAGAACTAAATCACAAGATCCTTGCCACATAGGCATAAATCATTCATTATCCTGTGTTATCTTTACATCATCCTCTCTTTTCATACCTTTCTGGGCACTCATTATACCTCTTATGTATAACATTCCTTTCTGCTCTGTACAAAGTATTTTTAATTCTCCTACCATTATATATTTATCCTCGTTTAATCTCAGAAACTCATTCTTCCTAATTCAAACACAATCTAAGACTGCCTTGTACAACAAAATATGTTAACATTCTTTATATTCTACAGATTTATAGCAGAGTCATGGTTAAAATTACACCTGTGCCTATTCAGTGCACACCACAATAATTTGTACTGTAATTGTGGATTTACATCGGGTCTTTAATAGTTTAAATTAAAACACTAACTATAATAGCACTATGTAGCTAAACATCTGGAATACATAGCAGGGGAATGGTTAGCTAATGGATATTTAGTATTAGTGATCAAAGTGAAATCTTGTTTCAATTTCTTCATCATGATTCTGTCAAAGATACCGATGACTTTCCAAATCATTAGGGTATTCTACACTTGATTCAATACAGGAACTTTTTACTGATATCAATATCTGAATACCTCAAAGGAAAAGCATTTACTTGGGATGTAAGTAACATTTTGATGCTATTGATGTCACACCCACATCTATCATTTGCTCTTTCAATACACACTCACTTCATCGTAATGCTACCCATAATTGACTTTTGAAGAAAGTCTAGGAAGCTTGGCAGTAAATGTTTCCTAATGTGATTTTAAACCAATTACAGAGGTGATTTGGGATATATGTATATAAGCTTTCACACTCATTTATTGGGATAACAATGAATCATATTCTACAGAATCACCAAATTCCTCTGAAGGACTAACAGGTACCTATGGGAATAACTCATTCAGAACCATAACTCTGTTTGCTTTCTTCCTGGCCATGACTCCAATTTCCTACTCTACTCTTTAAATTAGTTGGATGACCTCCTTCATAGACAGTTTGCATTTGATGTCTCATCTCAGATTCAGCTGCTCATTGGACTCACGCTAAGAAATCCCAAACTTCCTTTAGATCAACAGTCCAGTGCCTCTTACAGGACCATAAATGGTAGCATTACAAAGGGATAGCATAAAACATGTCATTCTTTGTAAATCATGCTGACTTCAAAGAGACAGTTGTTATGGGAAATATATGTGGGTAGAACAAAGCAGAAATATCACTTGTTTTCTATATATGAAGGTTGAAAATTTATGGGCAGATGGTGTCTAACAGGTGTGGCTATAATTTAAGAGGCCTGCTCCATTAGTCATCAGGAAATTGCTATTACTATTTTTGCAATGTTGACCTCAAGACATTAATGTTCCACTTGTTTCCACTTACCCTAATATCCATTGGCGTTGATTACTAATAGCTGATGGATTTATTCTGACTCTATTATCTTTTTCTTCCTCTCTTTTTTAAATTTAAATTAGAAACAATCTTGTTTCACCTGTCAACCCCAATGCCCTCTCCCTCCCCTCCACCCCTGCCCCCCACCAGCCCCTGTCCCATTCCCTTTCTGCTCCCCTCTACTATCCTACTACAAAAATCTACACACATACTTTTGTTTGTGACATATTTTGAAAAGGCGTTAAAGATGTCTGTGAAAAGTCCTTCAAATGGGTTCTTATGTTTATTTTCTGAATATTAAATTTAGTAAAACTATTTTCTGAAAGTCAAAATGAAGATTGCTGAGAGGAAATCCATTGGGGAAGGGAAGTAAATTAAAATTTAAAAATAATTAGCAAACTTAAATCTTTGTCCTCATTTTGTTTGTTAACTCACAAAGGATACTGAGCCTTCTTGGAACACTTTGCATGGCTTGAAGTCTCAGACTGTAAACTGTGGTCTTACCATAGTGTATTTGCTTCAACTTTGTAAATTATTATTTTTCTTATAAATTGGAAGATGTGGGGGACATTTGCTTAAAAATGGAAAGACAATGGAATCTACGGGTACAGATTATTAATATTTTACTAAAATCTTCTTTTCAGCTCCTTGAATATCAAGGCCTGATGTGCCCAAGAAGCAATTTCTGGTAGAAATCTGAAGATTATCTTTAAGGTATAAAGGTCAATGAATTAAGGACAAGAAGGTTTCAAATCAGGTAGGAACACTAAAGAAAAATCATAGATTCATTCATCTCAAATGTTTCTCAGAAGGTGTTTGAAAAAGATGAGTGTCTAACTAACATGAGTTTGCTTTCAATTAATTCCCTTGGTGGTGTAAGTGTTTACCAGAGAGTTCCTTGGAGAGAAGCAAATACAATAACAGCATGATTTTCCCCTATTTTTAGCTCATTGTTTCTATGTGCACTTAGCAATCCCAGGGCTTTAATCTCAGGAGGCTGCAAATACAGTATAGTAGAATAACCCACTCCATATTGTCTCCTAAGAAAAATCATTTTCATATGTTGTCTCCATTACCCTTAGGTTGTTATCAAAAATCAAGGACCCAGACAACATAAAGTGAGGAATAGTTCCAGTTGGCTGTATAAGGAAATTGACTTGGTTTTTCCTGGGGCCCAACTAGGCTTAGTTTTGATGATAAGTGGAGTTGGAAAGGAGGAGAATGGGACATGCTGAAAAAAAGTGTGTTTTCAAGTAATTATATATTGTATGGGAATCAAGATTCACTAGACTCAGTACAGGTTAAATGAAGTTTATTTGGAGAGATTACAGTTACACAAGAGGCGGTGACTGCCACAGATTCCAGCTCCAAGGATCGATCCACCCAGGCTGTTTTCTGTGAACCTACAAGAAGTCACTACATACATGACTGTAGTGAGGTATCCATCCTTCCCACACCTATAGAATTGACCGTGCCCATTCCAGGTGGTCACATGTACGGACTTGATGGAAGGCAGGACTAGATCTGGGGTACCCTACGCCAGCGCTCTCTCTAGAGGTCATGCATGACTCACAATTTTCTTTTTCAGTTACAATTTTAGATGGAAATTTAGATTAGAGAGTCTTCATATTTTATGAGACAAAAAAACAGTGGCATCAAAATCAAAGACTAGTTTTCTCATGTGCAATTAAGTACTTACGGTTTAGCATCATGCACGACCTCTACTCAGCATTCCCAACAAAGACACATTATAAATGATAGTTTGGTGAGTGAATGAAACAAGTTGATAAGGCAAAAAAGGGTGTCTACCCTTATGTTGCAGTCTTATGTTCTGGAATCTTAGAACCAATCCATCACTGTAAGTGAAACATGGAATATAAGCAATAAAATCCATTGAAGGAATGGATTAATCCCCATGATTCTGAGTCAAATTGTATGACAAGCCCAGATTCCATGTTTGCCAAGTTCTATTGTAGAGTCAGCCATGATATAAAAGCTTGCATTTGACATAACTGATATAGCTAACAGTTTATCATAGTTTCAGATTAATTTTTATAATCATGTCATATAGCATCCTTTACATTTAGACACAGCACCTACATTAAGATTACTACATGATAATTGACATGTGAGTAGAATATCCCTGCAATAACCTTCTAAGCCATATTATTTTAAGGAACATGGCTGTTAAGCATTTTATGGTACTCTTAAAGATAAACTCTGCTTTACATCCTTTTTGATGGGTGGAACTGCCGTAGTGCCTCAGCAGTGATATTTCTGTAGGCTGTTGTTACCTTCTGCTTTCTCAGGGAAGAGGAAAGACAAGCTGCCTAATCAATGAAGGAGATTTAAGTTTCACAGATTGCAGTTACCAAAAAAACTAAAACTCAGTCTAAAAATTGCATACTGGAACTCATTCCAAGAATATGTAAAATACATTTCCCTGGACTTTTATTCTTTACTGTTGGGTGGTTACTCAAATGTACTTACTAATAGTATGTCTGAGTTGCTAGCTCAGTCATTAACTGTTTTGTAGTTTTGCTCTGTACGTATTTTTCAACAATCTCAAGTTTACCTCCCACATCTCTTTTCTTTCTTATATTGTCTTGGTAACAGAAGATGTACTTATCTGATGCTTTTAAACCTCCTGGACATGCAAAAGAATAGTGCCTCTTTAAGTAAGGATGATACATGTTCAAAAGAAGAATGCTTCATTATGAAGCTAAGATTCTCCTATGAAAGAATTTCATAGCAGAAAGCTCTGTAAGCTGAGGTTTGTAAGCGGATGTGTATGGACTTCAGGAGCAGAGATTGTTTTCTCCAGAATTAAGACCTAAATAAAACACTTGCTCTCTAGAGATTTTTAAAAAACTCTTGTATAATATTTAATTCCAGATTTGTATGCAATATTTGAACCATAAGATCAAAATAAACTTCTCCAAAGTTAAGAAGTAGGATGAAGAGCACAAGATTTTTCCTCAAGTGTGCATCATTGCTTTAAGCTCATTTCATCACCATAGAAGGAACTGTTCTTGGTTTCATGTAAACATCCACAAATTATTTTTATTATACAGGTGATCTTTTTTAATTTTATAGAATTACCATTATACTTTAAATAGTCTTCTGTACTTTTAAAATCAATGATATACTTCTAAAGTTCATACATTTAGTTTGAACATGTATTTTTCCACCACTATTATGCTATTTTCCTGTGTTCAGATGAACACATATTTATCATCTTGTTGATGATGTTGGCATTGTTTTGGCCTCATTTTAATAAGCTTAATGATTATTTATTTTAATATCCTCTTGTACACATTGAGGTGTGTGTGTGTGAGAGAGAGAGAAAGAGAGAGAGACAGACAGAGACAGACAGAGAGAGAGAGAGAGAGAGAGAGTGTGTGTGTGTGTGTGTGTGTGTGTGTGTGTATGTGTGTGTGTACAGCCTCTATAGTTCCAGGCTTTACCAAACTAGGTGATGGACAGTTTCAATTTGCAGTACTTGGCTAATATTGCTTCAAAAAATGCCACAAACCTTTTAGCTTAAATAACAGTTTTTTTCATAGTTCTAGAAACAAAGAAGCCTGAGAGCTGTTTCTGTGCCTCTTAGATGGCTGTTGCTGTGGCTCTCAGTTCTTTCCTTTTTATGGAAATTGCCTTCCTGGGAGCTACTCTGAGTGGATTAGTGCCTCGCCATTACAACCTCATTTAACCTCAAGTACCTCTTCAAAGACAGAGTTCTAATATCACATTGAAACAGCAGTGCCAGTGTGGAAATCTGTAGTAAAGTCAGTTTATAGCAATCTAATGGAGTTTTATCCCCAATCAGTAGAAAAATTCCCTATTGATTCAATTGCCAACATGTTTTCCAGTATGTAAAAGTCCAGGAATATCTTCTACTAATAATTAGATTTTATTTTATTCACATACTTCTTACTGTTTTTAAATACAGAAAAATTAATACCCTGTGATACAATTAACTTCACCCAGGCTAGTCTTTAGTAGGAAAAAGCATGTCTGAAGATAAATAGCCACTCTTAACAATACCTAAACCAAATTTGTCCTTTGGGATTGGAGCTTTTTATCTTAAAATGCTCTTTTCTGGCATTGTGATGTATAGATAACATCTTGGGGGATGTAGTCTTCAAGTTCCAGTGTATCTTTCTTTTCATGACAGTAATCTATGTAATATGACTCATGTCTGATCCATTTTTATGAATCACCAAACTTTTCAGGACCTATCCAAATTCTAGTAAATCTTAAGTGTTTATTTTAATTGTATTTGTGTGTGTACTCGTGGGTTTACATTCGAGTGTCATGCTGAGTGAGATCAGTAGAGGGTGTTGGATATCGAAAAACTGAAGTTATGGGTGGCTATGAGCCATCTGACATGGGTGATGGACTCGGAATCTGGTCATCTACATGAGCCCTTTATCATGTGTCTCTCCAGGTCTCTGTATCGTCATAATTGTAAAGAATTCTCTGACTTATCTGATTTCCATGTAATGTATAATCAGTTTCTGGACTCGCCATTTGTTTATTTCACTGTCCTCAAGTGCCAGTGCCACATCACATCATGCTTAACACAGCTCTAAGTTTGTGTATGTAGGGAGCTAAAATCCTTCCACATTAAAGCCATTAGAAAGATCTAGGCTATTCTTGGCCATGTGACCTTTCATGTAAATGTCATAAATAGCAGCTCCACAAAAGATCTGTCAAGTACTTGTATTGAAATTGGATCAAATATGACAAATATGAGAAACTCTCGACTACTACAGATGACCTTTCCATCAGAAACTAAATCTTTCTTTACACATCATTTTTAATAAAGTTTTTCTGAATAGTGTCTTGCATATTTGTGTAACCTTATTCCAAAGTAAGTTTCAAACAATTGGAAATGATTTCCAGGATTGTTCCTCTTAATTTCTTTGTAGAAACACCATATTTTATGTCTTGATCTTATTTCCAGCCACTTCGATAACAATCAATTCTCTTTTTATGGTAGAAAATTGACTTCCCTAGAAACAATTGACTTCCCTAATGACTTTCTCATAAAATGGGAATGAATATGAAAAAAATTGTTTAAAGGTGAAGGTGAGTTCTGCTTATATCTTCTGTAATGGAAGTAAATATTCTCCATGATGACTGATGACTTACATTGTAGTAACCCTTGTGTGTGTGCGTGCGTGCGTGTGTGTGTGTGTGTGTGTGTGTGTGTGTGTGTGTGTGTATGGGCTACATATATATGGGTTACATTAAAATGTATAGATATAATTTATGTATACTATATATATTGATTTAAATGCAATATCAACAAAATTCAAAATTTATTCACTAATATTATCCCACTTTTAAAATATTTTGTCTGGTGTCATACATTGTTAGGCTATTGGACCATAGTATTGCAGGATTTTGTACTTGACATAATGAGATCTCTTTGGTAAAAATTATCCTTTTATTTAAAAGAAATTTGCAAGATCATCTTCAAGTTTAGTAACTAATCCAACATGTGTTATCACCAAATGGCTTTTTTTTTAGTAATATCTGCATTCCTACTGAATGACTCAAGACATTAATCTTTGCAATAAGGCTGCTGTGTACACACTCTACAGTAATTGGCAAGTCTTGTGTTGTCCCAATTTTTGGAGATTAAGAAGCATAGAATACTTAGCTAATTCACCTCCTCACATGAATGGCTTTCTAGTCTTTGGCCAGAAGTGCCTAATTTTCAACACTGTAAGATAGCTGATACAGCTA